CCAATTTTTTTCCAGTACCAAAACTTCAAAGCTTCTTTATCTGCTCAATATCCTCTGAGGAGACTTGTTCTAATACTTGCTCCAGAATATTTTCAAAGTTCTTTACCTCTTTTTCGAGAATGCCTATCCATTCGCCTTGCTCTACTCGTACAAATAATGCTGTAGAGATTCTGACAATATCAAGGGATTCTCTTGTTAAAAGGAATTCTTCCATGTTTTAATAGAGTAAAGGTTAAATGTTAGTGAAAACTCTGTTAAGCGAAGTAAAAAAAATAATGTAAAAGCATAATAAATGACCCTCTCTAGGCTTACAATCATATTGAAAAAGAAACAGGAGAATATGCAAAGCACTTTACGCCTATGTTTGTGATTAATGGCATATGGAATGTGCATTGAAGATCTCAACATTACATTATATATATATTTTAACGAGGATCAAAAATGTGCTAATTTATGTCATACATGCCTTCATGCATTGGCCTTAAGACATTTCGCATAGCTGAATAATATAATATTCAGGATCTTTCTCGAAAAATACTTTATTAAAATAGTTATACAGTATATTGCTAAGGTTCTAACCCAGAATAGGTAAATCAGGTTTTTTATTCTGCAGGTGATACATTTCACAAGCGATCATACATGCAAATTATATAGCGTAAAAAAAGAAATATAGTTGGGATAGTTAGCGTTGCTAACCAGTCAAAAGTAATAGTCAGAATCAGTTAGTTAAACTATTGTGATTTCTATTCTATTCCTCAATCTTAATATAGTACCTTTTGGTTGATTAAAATAGTTTAAGTTATTTTATTTTGCATATCGAGACGAGATAAATAGTTTGTTTGGAAAAGTCAGCCCCTTTGATTTATCGATCTGCTAGATGAATGCTATTTCCTTTTGATAAAATTTATTTTTAAAAAAGGATTTATCAAAAGCTTATTGCTTAACCCTTTCACATCCAAGATCACTTAAAGGATCAGAACATTCTTGGTCCCAATGCCCCTGCATCATGTCCTTAGCTTCAATCAATTCAATGAATCTATGCCATCCATGGTGGTATGATTTGGTTGGCTTTATTTCATTAACTTAAAATAGTTTCCAGCAACGAAAGCAGATTGCCATATTATTTTTATGAATTTTAGGATGATAATAAGAATGATATGATTCATCAAATTTGTCTTCACCAAATTCTGCAAACAAGCAGAAACTATGGTATATACTATTTTCATTTTGTGATAATAAATATTGGAGAGTACTTTTAACTCGTAATCCCCACTGCATTGAAGATTCTCCCTTTCTCATTATTGATAATTTGTCATAGATTTTTTCATTAACAAGGAATTTTTTGAAATCAATGCCACTCTAATAATTTCTGAGATATGTTCTATAATATTCCATATCATATCCAGGATGATTACTGACAGGCTTAGGTAACCGCCATTATTTTTTATCAATAATCATATTAATGGTAATAGCACTTGCCAAGGTAACAACCATCATATTTAGCAAATTATATTGATTTTATTAATTTATAGTGTTTTTAGCGATTAAGAGATTTATAGCAATTTCAATGATTTATAACAGTTTGTAACAAGTATATTATAATAAATATCAGATTCATTTTTATTCGATTTATATAGTGTCATATCTTAGGCTAAGCTAATTTTATATTTATATGCAATTTGTGGATCTCTCGTGATTATCAGGGATTAGCCGAAGGAGATAACTGATTTTTTGATTTGGTTAAATTAGATCTGAAACAATATACACAACATAATCATCATTGTATTACGGTATACTTAACTCCTTTCCAGCACCTCATTAGTCCTCAACGCTCTCCTATTACTTTCGATTTGTATAATCCTGACACCTTCCTGGTCAGTTTTCAGAACTTTCTCGCAATCTTCCTGCAACTCAAATCATAAGATGATCGGCTGGTCTCAGAAATTTTGGCACATGATTTTTTCTTACCCAAGGTAAATGAAATTTCTGAGCGAATAGTAAAGAAAAAAGGGTAATTTTATATTTATACACATGTAGATTAGTTTGCAGATCCCTCATGATTGTATGTATCATTTTATTTGATAAGTACTCATATAGCATTTACAGGATACACATGAATAAAGAAATGAGAAAGGCCGATATGGGCGAACTTTATTATTTTGGATGGTATACAAAAATAAAATAAACCTACTGACCGTGAGGTCAGCAAGTCACATGATTATGTGATATAGTAATAGTCTCACTATTCTCTAAAGCTATCTATGATATAATCGATTTTTTCTCAACTTAACTTCGAAATTGTTAGTGTTGAATATAATTTAACTCGTTGTATCTTATCAACACCAATTTTGAGGAATAGCTCATATATCTTTCGAGCTCTCTCTATTTGCTTCCAGCGAGTAGTATCAGTAACCCTTCAGGTAATTGCTCCTTAATTTCTTTATCTACCTTACTCTAGGCCATGCGATCATGATACTTTTTTCATTCTCATAATAGTCCAGGCGCTCGTATATCTTCTTTTCGAATTGGAAGTAACAAAGTAAAACCCTTTGACTAGCAGAATCATTTTGAATTTTGGCTTTAACAATTTTTTTATAGAGATGAGTATAACTATCTTCAGGTGACTGGGTGGGAAATGACAATTCTTGATTGATACTATCATCCTTTAGCTCCTTAATAAGCTTTTTTAACATAGCGAAATCGCCCTTATTAGATGTCTTCTTTTTCTTACTAGATAACTCTTCAGTGAATGTACTAGTTCATTTCTTACTGCTATCTTCAGCTGGGCAGATATCCTCAACTTCTTCTATCGGATCTTCTGGTATTAATGAAAATAGGTTAAACTTTTTACCTATCAAATTAGATAAGGCCAAAGTTTCACTTGATTGGGATGATTGTGAACTTCTCCTAGCAGAGGTAGAAACTGGATATATGATATCAACTTTCATTCTACAATCAGGGAATAGATACACGTCTGGCCTGGTAATCATGAGCTTCTTTTCGATACACAATCTATAAAACAGATACTCACATAACAGTATTGTAAGTGCTTTGAGAGGAAGTCCCAGAATATTGTTCGTACATTCAGAACACGGCTCTAGTTCCAGAATTTCTTTATCCTTAACCATTTCATCCTCGAGATACTTCAAGATATTATAGGCAAGGTTTTTATAGATGGTAAGAGATGAGTGGAGTCTCTCTGGTACTTAGTAAGAAAGATCTTTGGTTGATTCTAAGTCTGACATATTCAGTTGATTTAACTCTCATCGTCAACTAGTCAGTTTTATATAGCGTTGGTATATGTATAGGAGAAAGATATTATCAGATTCTCGTTAACAATTATATACAGCATTTCGTCATTCATTAGCCCTTGCAAATCAATAAAAAAAAGACTTTATGATTAGTGCCTCCAGCTGATGATCTCTTAGCGATTGTGTGAAATAAGAAAACTAACTATAACTTTTCAATACACTATATATAAGCATTCAAAATTTATTAATACAAATGTTCAGGACGTAGCCCATATTACATGACGTCTACTAGGACTAATATACATAATTATTTTTCCAGACTAGCATTAATAAAACTGCCTAAAAAATTGGAATCAGAAATATCAAACATTTTACTCACATCGCTTTTAAACAATTTTACAAGGTTTTCTAGTCCTTCCAAGTTTTTCTCAAATGCTTTGATTGCTTCTCCTGACTTGCTAGATAAATTATTAGTTGAGAAAGCATAGCCAAGCCAGCTCGTCTCTAACTCCTCTTTTTTATCGTTTTCCATTCCTTATCTGCTGAAATTAGTCTAATTATGTATGAAGAAAAAAAATATAATTATTAATTATCACCGGATCAGATTCCCAGATAATCACACAGTTTGGGATAATCAAATACGCCTACCACCCTATCTTGCCTTATATTCTTAACAATGATAAAGCCAGTTGCCCTATCATATGTGTGATTATATTTGGCTAGATTGCATAATGGTAAGTACTGCATGGGGTTAGTAGTGAACTTACCTGCAGTCTTACACTGATTATTTCTAGATTTCTTACCCATTACTAGATAATTTGGTTGATTCAATAATTAGTTGATTTAACATTAATAGAATGGAATGAATATCTTTTACATTTCACCTTTTTATTACCAGATTTTTTATTCACATGTATTACTTTGTTAAGTAGCGTAAAAACTGATTCCCTGAGTTTCTCTTCTATTATATAAGCTTCTTCAGCTGAACTCAACTCAGATGTACTAGACTCAGATGATTTGGTCATAGCATCATATAGATAATAGATTTCTTGGCCAATGCTTTTAAGATTTTGATGTATTTTAGTTACATCACATTCTAACGTTTTAATGTTCTCTTTAATCTCTTGAATAGCATAATTCTTTTCTTTTTCTGAATAAAATGTTCAATATTTTTTAGAAGGCATTTTTATAATCTGAAAAAAAATAACTGAATATTTATCGCTCTAGAAAAAAATAATATAATAATGTATGTGATCTGACTACACATCACTATCTAACTTATGGTTGAAAGCTAGATATATGAGACACACACTCGTTTTGGTATTTCTCTAAAAGCTTGGCTCTCATAGCTCTTTTTTCAGCCTCTTTATAGGGTATATCATCTTTGACCATATTCTTATAAATCATATTACGCCAATGCTTATATGGTAAAGTAGTTATCCTATCAGATAAGATCCAGTGCTTAGTATTTATAGGCAGAGGGCTTTCTTCTCAGATTCGACTACTGACAATATGTGATTCTTTGATCGAATACTTACATTCTTTGTATAAAATACTTTCTTACCAAAAAGACAGTCCCAATATACTTGGATCATAGGATCAAAACTTCAGATTGGTCTACTGAATCATCTAGCAAAGTTTCCCCTAAGGATGGGAAGTATGTATCAGTTGCTATCTCGCCCATACCTTTTTTACTAACCCCCTTATGTCTAGAATTCATGATTTTATCTGCTAAGACATAGTGGTAAGACTTAGCTTGAATGTGAAATGATTCTGTGATTACATTACCTGGATTTCATCTTTAAACTTACCAATAGTTACATCTTCATTAAGAGCAAAGAGATCTGGTCGTTCAGCCATGTCCTTATAAATGTCTTCTGTCTCAGTTTGGAATATGAAAGAGTCTGTATCCATATACCTGAACTTAGCATTATCCCCATATTTGTCCTTAACATAGTCATACTAGAAGCGGTACATTAAGAGTTTACTAACGCTTAATACTGATGCACTGACTATGATAGGCTTACTGAGAGTTACGCTAGCCTTTCCCATATGTACACTTACTAATGTAGGACTAATTGGGTGACCATACTTGAATGTGGGCTTACGAACTTTATTAAGGAATTTCTTCTCATCTCTCTCATTATTCATAGCCATGATCTTGACATCCTGGTATTTGCGAACATTTTCCATAGTCTTGCCATATACTGAGTT